TCACTTTTGTTTTCAATAATTTATAATTTGCAAAGATAGTAAAGACAGTTTCATATGCCCTTCACCCACATTTCTTGTCAGGTGGACATTTCACATATGCATGGTACGTTTGCCAAAACCGGGAAATTAACATTAGTTTAAAGCATGACTATCCTTTGGTATTGTCTACAGTATAACTCAGGGATGGCAAACCTATGGGACGTATACTACAGTGGACTCTGTATCATTGAAAACTCTGAAAGTTCACCTTTATTGCACATGAAACTCCACCTAGCAATATTTGGTGGTTATGATCTTAAAAGCTTTCCCTCATGTCTTACAGAGCTGGGATTGAATCCAGTGGGTGGAATATTTTAAGCTAAGACATCCTATAGTTTCACTTATAAAAGCTAAATAAAAGTGAACACATATTTGAATGCAGTTGTTTCTTCAAGGCATATATCCTACCTACCCAATTGGTTTAAATTCCTCAGTATAATTCTGTTGATGTTAAGACCAGAATTCAACATTTAATGTGATCTAATAAATTGACCTAGACACAGTGTTCAAATAGGTAGAAGTTCCCAAAATGAATTTTAAACTAACCATTTGTTGAGTGTTGTAGAAGTTTTGGAGAGATAAAACCAGAGCATAATATATTCATATGTAGGTGAGAACATGAATGCTTCAGGAATAGTTCAGAAGTAAAATTTAACTTATAACACATTAGATAATGGAATTTTTTTAGTGCTAAATAGATTGAGCTGCAAGCCATGAAAATATATGGAGAAATTTAAACACATATTACTAAGTGAAATTGTACTGTGTTATTCCAAATTTGTAGCATTCTAGGAGGGGTAAAACCATGGAAACAATAAAAAAGGTCAGTGGTTTCCTGCAATTAGGTGGAGAAAAGAGATGTATAGGTTGAATATGGAGGATTTTTAAGGCAGTATATGATATGGTGTACTACTGGTATGGCATGTATCTAGATGTCCCCCTAAAGCCTTATCTGGTCATAGGTGGAGCTTTTTTGGAGATGCTGGATCTAATTATGTGCTGTTGGAATTAAGGATTTGATGCTTAGATTGATTCTTGATGCATTGCTAGGATTAGGGCTGCCCTAGGTGTGAGTGCTACATGACCAAAGGATAAGTAGTCTGGATAAGATATGAGGGACAGAAGGATTGTCATTGCTGCTCCCTTGTTGTTTACTGCCTTCTGCTTCTGCTCTGCAATGCCAGCCTGCCTTGGAGCCAGCCCACTTTGTGAACTATGAGCCAAATAAGCCTTTGAGACATAAGACTAATTTTATCATCAAGGTGCATATAGATCTACATTTATGTTTTAGACTATTTCTGTTGATGAATTACTAATTTTAATGGGTTTTATTAAACAGTATTCAGTTTTAAATATTTATTGAATATTTATAAAAAAGCGTCAAAATTTTTGACAACTGGTTTCTGGTGTATTAAATCTAAAAAAGAACACCAATAAATTCTCGTATGAGCTACCATGAAAACACCAGTAGTACTCTACAAAAAAAAGTCTTTACTTCAGTTATCATAGCTAAGGTAGTCTATACACGTGAGAACAGTACCTTCCATCTACATGCAGCACTTACATTGACAACACAGCTTGCTTTCCTGACCTTTATGTAGGACATACTTGACATCTCAGTGGTCTTGCTGTTTTATCAGGAGGTTCTTGTTGTATTATACAGTGTGTAGTTAACAGGAAGATAAAATATCAAAATAATTAAATTCTTATGTGTTGCACATTTAGAGTAGACATCAATATTTTCATGTCAGCTGTGTATTTCCTTAGAAAACCTAAAAGATAACAGCGGAAATAAATTCCTGTATTACTTACAATGACAATATGAACAAAACTAGCACAAAAGGCAGCATTGCTTCAATTGTCACATACCAGTCTTCACACATGACAACTGCGTTTGCCATGCACACATCTCATCCTGATAGCATGTATGCTTAGCTTTCCTTTCCCACGTGTTAGTCTTGTCATTGGCCTTCTCTTTGTCAGGAGCTTCCTACTATGTTATACACATGCATTTAGTGTGAAAATAAGATGTCAGTAAAATATCAAATGTGCAATGAGTACTTAGAATAGGCATCAACATTTTCACATCAGCTGCTTACTTGCTTACAAAACCTAAAAGATAACAAAAAATAAAAGCCTATGTGGACTGCAGTGTAAATACAAACAAAAGTGTATCACAGAAATAAGCTTCGCTTCAATGTCACATTCAAGGCAGTCTTCACACTTGACAACTGCATGCTCCACATACAAGTGTTGCTTATTTTCCTGTTGTCATAGTACGTCTTTGTGATGCTGTGCTTACCCTTTCACCAGTCAACTGCTTCACAGTTCTCTGGGCAGAAACATTTAGTTTTTCTCTGCTGTAAATGATCTCTTATGAGCTCCAATACAGTCCTCTTAGGAATTTCTCAAAATGTTTTGCATTTGTTAATTTCTTTGTAAACGATCAAGCTATTTATGTTATACATGTTTGGGATCAAGTAAAGCACAATCATTGGTCAGTGCTTTATGTTTCAAGTGTTGTCATGGTTGCTACATCATCATTATGTACTCCACCTTTGGTCTTGTAGAAAGTTTGCATCTCAGGCTGCTTTTTCTTTTTAGTATTTAGTACACAGTCTACAGGGTCTCACTCCATAGATTGGACTCCTAGTGATTCTTCTGTTTTCAGCCTCCCAAGTGCTGGGATTAGCGTCACCACACCCAGTCTCAATCACTATCTCAGTGTGCCCCAGGGGTGGGGCCGGCACAGCACACTGGGGATTGAATCCTAGCCACTGCTGTCTGCCTAAGCAGGTGCTTTTTTAGTTTGCTGAGCTATGTGGCTGGCCCTTCAGGCTTCTGTTTTGTTAAGATGTCCCTATTAGTATTTTCATCGTGGTACAATGTCGACATCAGCGGTACCAGTTTGCTTTTCTTTACTGTATAGGAGGCTACCTTTATATTGTTCTGAAATTCAAAGATTAATCTATACAATTGTAGTATTTTGAAATTGCTACGTTTCATTTGCAGTTTCTGCTTTGCTCCTGTGTACAGTTCCTGTGCTGATCAATTTGTGCTCTGTTAGCAAACATAACATCATTGGAAAAGCGGTAAACAATTGTCAAATGTCACATTCTGATTAGTTTGTGAAATGGGAGCAACAAGTCTGCTAACAACATAATTTTGGGGAAAAAAACCAACATAATTTGGTTTATTACTATTACAAGTAAGGACCTGATGACTGAGTTCTAGGGTGAATGTCTAAACTGAAAGCCATGAGCTACAAGGGATTTTTTTTTTTTTTTTTTAATGGAACCCGGGATTGAACTCAGGCCCTTGACAGGGAAGTGCTTATTTCCATAAGTCTTTACATTCCCATGTTTGCAATAAGAAATCTCTGCTAAGTACAAGAGACTTAGGAGTGCTTTCATTTCAGCTTGTGAGGTGTGATTATAAATACATTTTTTACTAAGGCTGTTGGCACATATATTTTACTTGGATTTCAGCCTTGTGTATTTCACAGCATTTTGTAGCAATTTGTTTGTTACAGTTCCAACATTGAATGACAGTGCTCCATTTTGTCCAACTTGCTTTGTTTGCTTACTTTTCTATTTAATTATAATTATTTTGTCCATTATATTGTGCTCCAGACTTTCAAATACTCGTCAGGTATGCTGTCAGTTTCATCCTTTGATTCTTGTGGAGTTCTAGTTCTGTTACTTTCCCAGCTAGTATTGTCTCCCCTTTTTCCTTGTTTTATAGCTATCAACCTGCGATTTCTCTTTCTAGACACCCTACTCTTTGCCTCTTCTCTTTCTCAGTACCAAATTGCTGTGGTCATTGTAATTTCATATGGGTCTAATTTCCTCATACCAGAATCTAATCATTTCTAGCTTACTTTTTACATAAAAGTTTCCCTTTTTACTTATTAACTGTGTGGGTTTCAAATCTGTCCTATATATTATTTTGAATTATGTGAAATTGACATTTATTCTAGTAAAATGGATAATTTATAAAGTTTTTAGTAAACTTATTACTGTGTTATAATTTTATACTTAGGAATATATTTTTATATCTAGAAGTTTTTAAAATGTTGATTATTTTGAATTTTACATTTATATAAACATCTGAAATTAACATGGGTAATCTTGCAAATCATAATTTACAGTCTATTTAAATTTTTAAAAAATCGTATATTATTAATGGTAGTCATAATGGACCTACATAGGTGTATGTTTAGCTTTCTTCACTAAATATATTAGCTTTTAGTATTGTCTATTATTTTCATGTTAAATACTTATTTTACTATTAAGAGCCTTGGTAGATATGTAAGTTCATCAGATGTCTTTCAGTGGATATCATATTTAGCAAACCAATTATTTTATTATGTCAAACCAATTTTGAATATCAGAGGTAAACTACTTAAAACAGTGATGTAATCTTCCTTTGGTTTATTCTCGAAGTCTTCTTTTTAAAAAAAAACTTTGCAACTTACTCCTTTGTGCTGATAATCTGTAATACTCATTTGTGTATAATATTTCTGTTAATTTTTTATATCACTTTTCTATGTAAAAATAATTTGAGAGCATCTGTACTTTGGAGCAGTTAAACTTTTAGAGTTACCTGTTCTTAAATATTTGGGAGAACTTATAGTCTCATTGGCATCTGGTACTTCTGTTTAGGTTAGGTTAGCTCCTTGACAGCATTTCTGTTCCTCTTTTGAATGTACTTATCAAATACTGCTTCTGTGAAATCTTTTGTTGTACCCTCATACAATTCCTAATGTGTCGTACTTTGCATGCTATTATGTTTTTCCTAGGGCTAAACATTTTTATGTTACTTACTTGTTAAAGATACTAGGGTAGGAGTTTGTCTTTATTGCTTCAAATTCTAGCCCATGTAGGGACTGTGATGACTTAACTATATTTTTCTTCTTTTTCTTTTTTTGGTGGTTCTTGCTGGTGGTGGATATATTACAGGCTTCCTAGTTGGCATGTGTGTTGTAAAGAGAGTTCTTCAGCTTCTGCAACATCATATTACTCTCAAAAAGACAATTGTGCACTAGAAAATGAAGATCTACAATTACAGAAAAAGGTACCTTAAATAGAATTACAATTTATCTAACATTATTTTGCATGTCAGTTTTCTTTAAAAATATTATGACACAATTTTTGATGGAGTTTTATATTTTCCTTAGTATACTCAGGGAATGTAGGAGTCAGGAGTTATTTAAGTAATTGTGAAATGAAGGTAACTCAGATACTGTATGATGTTTATTATTATTGCTTGTATTTGAGATTTCATTAACTTAGTTTCAGTTCTACTAAGGTGAAAAAATAGTGCATGTTCAGAGAACTGGACATGCATTCTCTCTTGTTCTTTTTTTTTTTTTTTTTTTTTTTTGGTCTTAGTACTGGGGATTGAACCCAGGGCCTTCACACTGAACTATATCCCCACTCTTTTTTTCATTTTTATTTTGAGAAAATGTCTCACTAAGTTGCTCAGATTGGGCTTGAGTTTGTGATCTTCTTCCCTTAGTCTTCCACAGTGCTGGGATTCTGGGCATGTACCACCATTCACACACAGCTAGTGCTCTCTTTTTAATGCTGTTCACACTTAAAGGGTTTCTAAAGAAACTCCAATCTTATAAATAAGAAACTATTAGAAATTGAGTATTATAGGGAGAATTTATAGTTGGTAGCTTTCTGGTTTCGTGTAATAGTAGATGCAGTGAATAGCGAGGATCCAAAAAATGTGATGTTGTCTAAACATGTATTATCTTATTTTAAATAACAAAAGTGAATTTTAATTAGATTTGGCTTTTGCCTCCAACTTCAGTGTATTTATTTTAAATTATGGAAGTAATGTATACTAACTGCAAAATACTTACGCTGATAAACCATTTCCCTCCCTAAAGAAACTATAATTTACTACTTATAAAAATATTCAGATCTTTTCCTAGGGCTATAGATATACAAACTAATATTTCTGTTAAAAGATCATAGAAATGTTGTACAAGTTTACTTCTACCTTCTCCGACATGTCTCACATGTTGCTACGTTCTTCTGAATGACTGCATTTTCACACATTAATTGTATTCTTCTTGTTGAACTTATACATTGTTTCCCAGACACGTATGTGTGTACATGGGCACACAATATGATCAGTGCACATATTTACAACACATTTACATGTTTGGATTTTTTGTTTCTAGCATGATACTTGGAAGATATTTGATTTTTGAGTTATGTAGAATATATCTCTGGAATAGAACATTTAAAATTTTGAAGATTTGCTAGATATTTCTCTTCCAAAAGCCATAATTTTGTTTTCTCCCACAGTCTATGATGTTTAAATCTAATACCTTCTTTGATGAGATATTTGGAGACCAAATAAGCAAAGTACTAGGGGAAACATTCTTTCAGTAAACATTCAGATACCTGGGATATGCTGGAAAGTTTCAGATAAAATGAACATGGGCTTTGTTTTTATTAAATTTATATTTTGAGAAGGTGCTTTAAAGACGCAAAGGCATTAGAAATCCTGACTTGAATATGAATAAGTATTAGAAAAGATGAGAAACTAAATGCTGTATGTATATTCATTTGTCAAATGTTGAAGGCATGTAGAATACTGTGATAAATATTAATAGTATTAAAATGTGTATTCAGTAGTCAAATGAATTTCTTCAGGTCACATACTATACATTTAAAGTGTATTGGAGGACTGGGGAGATAGCTCTGCAGTCTAATAAGTGCCTGCCTGGCAAGCTCAAGGTCCCAAATTTGATCTCCAGTACAACATGCCATACCAGCCCCAGAACCCTGTGCGCGCTCTGCCTGCCCCAAAACTAGGCATGGGGGAGCATGCCTATAATCCCAGTGCTGGGGAAGCTGAGACAGAAGGATCAGTATGAGTCTGGACTGTGTAGTGAGACCTTGTATCAAACAAACAAATAAATAAATAGTATTGGGAAGGAAGAGAATGCAAGATAGACAATCAGCATGTAAACCATAGTTACAGTTAAATGTGTACACATATTTCTTGGTTTTACAGTGTAGAAAGAGATGGTTTTTATTGTTGTTAGAGAATTCTTTTGAAATAATTGTATCAGTCTTTTTTTCCTTATTGACTTTTAGGATGAAAGAAAGATACCTGTAAATGATGAATTATCAGGAAAATCAAGTTTAGATATACCAATTTCTCCAGAAGAAAATGAAGTAAAAGATGAGCATATTGTGGATGTACAAGTAAGCTATATTGTGTTTTTAGTAATATACTTCATCAGACTCCTTCATGAGATAACATACCTGTTTGGCTTCCATATTGTATATTATTATTTTTTATTTTTGAATTATTGTGCAGTGGGACTTAACATTACTTATCTGTTTATAGTACTGAGTTTTAGAGTTATTTATTTATTTATTTATTTTTGGTGGAACCGGGGATTGAACTCAGACCCTTGCGCTTGCCAGGGAAGTGCTTACTCCACTGAGCCATCTCCCCGGCCCTAGAGTTATATATTTATAATAAATGTGGCTATTCTTTGAAGTGAAAATATGGGTTAACTTATTTCTTCCTTTGTTTCATTTTGATTCATATGTCTTATTTTGTATTCTCAGATAGTAAATTTTTTCTAACCTGTGTACAACAAATGCAAGTATTTTATGCAGAGAACAGTATTTTTTATGTGTCTTCACATATGTGAAATATAAATTAATAGAACATTTTTATATTTTATGCACCAATCTTTATGAGAAATATTAAAAACTAGAATAAATACACTGTAGACTTATTGAATGTTGAAACATGTGGAAACAATTTAATATCAACAGTGGCAGGGGCCGGGGAGATGGCCCAGTAGAATAAGTGCTTGCCTGGCAAATGCAAGGGCCTGAGTTCAATCCCCAGTTCCACAAAAAACAAAAACAAAAACAAAAAAAACAACAACAAAACAAAAAACAGTGGCTGTAGGAACTGTGAATATGTCATGAGGCAGAAGCACTAAGGAAAAACTTAATATCTCAGATATTAGGAAAAAATACTAAACTCAGAATGAGAGAAAAATACGTTATGTTGTTAATAAAGACAGGTTTTTTTTAATATACATATATATATATAAACTCCAGAAGAATATATATTCATATATATATATATAAAGTTTATATATATATATATATATATATATAAACTTTATATATATATGTGTATATATATATAAACTTACTGGGTTATGTAAGGATGTATAGTGAGTTTCATTTTATTGGATTTTGGAAGACATTTATTGAAGATTTGTGTGTAGGAATAAGAGAAAAATATTACCTGTAATCCTTCATATTATAAGACTATCATGAATGTTTCTGCCATATATTTTCCTTTTTTTTTTTATGGTACCACAGATTGCACTCAGGACCTTGTACTTGCCAGGCAAGCGCTTATTCTACTGAGCTATCTCCCTGGCCCCTGCCATATATTTTCTGAAATTTTTATCATGGTATACTCTTGCTCAGTGAAGTGTTGCTGCATCTTATGTACTTGTGTTTGTTGTTTAGTAGAATAGCTATTAACTTCATGTGGTTATTGAGCACTTGGGATATGACTAGTCTGTATTGAGAGTTACTATTAAACATAATTTTTGAAGACTTGGGTAGAAGATTGTAAAATATCTCATTAAAACTTTTTTTAACTCAATGTTGAAGTGATAATATAGTATTTTGTGATATGATAGTCCTTTCTCCAAGCCTCCACTATAATGTGAAGTTTCTATTTATGAATTTTTCAGTAGAAGTGATCATTCATGTGATCATACTTTGTATTCTTCTCACTCTATGATCTATGTTTTGTTCTTGGTCCTTTACCAGTCATTGTGTTTTATTTTATTTTTTGTATTTTAGGGAAGGTTCTATTGGATGTTCAGGGTCTCACTACTATCCACCTTTTTACAGCCTCCCAAGAGCTGGGATTACAGGCATGCACCACCATGTCCAGTCTCAATTGCTGTCTCAGCATGCCCTGGAAGCAGGGCCAGCACAGCAGCCTGCTTGCAAGCCCTTTAATCTGTTGAGCCATTTGGCTGGCCCTCCTTGTGAGTTTAAAGAAGTACATGTAGTGAGACTCTGTCTGAAAAAAAAAAATTAAAAATTTTGTTTTTTGTTTAGCATTGACTGTTGGGGAGGTGCTCTGTGTAGACTTTTAAACTGTGAAGAAGTATGAGGTAGATTTCAGATTGTCTTTGGAATGATGCGTGTCCTAGGGCATTAACGACTCCAGGAATACCAAGAATCAAGGTTTTGTATGTCACTCACATGTATCTTATTATTTATTGATACACACCATTTCCTAAACTGCTCAGGGACATGGACATTGTGTTGTACTGTCCTGTATATTTATACAGAATTTATTAGTTGTTCTTAAGTCTTCTGTGTACAGTTGAAGAGAAATATTTGTAGGTTCTGATACACACTAAAAAGTAGGAAAGGAGAAAGGCAAAGTCCTTATGAGAGTTTTTCTTTCATAGTATAAGTACCATGAAAAGCCTATAGATGCTGTTTTTTATTGTGAAATATATGACCTTAGTAGTAGTTATATGAAATACATTTTAGTGAATGAACAGTCTTTTTCTATGGTCATTTTTCAGCTTTCTGTAAATTCTTATTCAGCAAAGATGATTTGTTATTCTATTTAATGTAACTTTGTTTTAACAGAATACAGAGTCAAAAAAGTTAAGACCACCTATTATTGACACACTCCCTACCGTTGATTTACGTGAAGACTCTTCCAATATAGTTATGAGCAATGAAAATGTAGAAAATACTTCCAGCTTATCTACCTCAGAAATCACTTCAGTCACAAAGCTTGAGTAAGTCATTACAAAGGGGAAAAAATCCTTAGTTAATGATGAAAACTTTCTTTATAGGATATGACAGCTTGATACCCAATTTTAAAGTCTAGATTGTATAGCAGACTTAATTTATAGTATCTTTGTATTATGTATTTTGGATGGACTTATGAGATCTTTTAATATTTGTGTCCTAGATCTGCCTAACTCAGTGAAATTGATTAGATCCTATCAGGAAATCTCTTCATAGTGTAGGTAGAGTGAGGTTCTATTTAGGTGTTTGAGAGTCTTCCTTATATTTATCTAAAACTTAAGAATTACATTATTCATTTCTGTTAAGGATTATGGGAATTCCATTCAGAGTTATATTTGTGTGAATAGCTGCCCTTTTTTTAGATTTAATAAGAATTTATATTTGTCATCTCTACTTTAGAAAATCAGTTGTTCACTCCTATGAGCTCTTTTAAACAGTAATCCAAAGTGCAAAACAAAGTGCCTTTCTCTTACTAATACATTTTTTAAAAGATTTTCCTTTATCCAAGGAATAAAAGTAAAATACAAAGAGTAATATCTGACATGTGGAAAGAATAAATGTGTCAGTTATTATCGTAATTAAAATTGTACTACTTTTTTTACAAGCTATTTTCAGTGCCTGTCTTCCTCGAAAATGTAAGGGTTTAGGCCTTTGGTAGCAAATCTATGGCATGTATGCTGCAGTCAATTGTTAGTTCATTGAAAGCTCTAAAAAGTTTGCCATCTCTGGTCTTAGCTAAAGGTATTATACACAAGGATGTTATAATTACCATTTAGAGACTTTTCCCGGAAAAGGAAACAGATTGGAGAAATAGTAATTTTAAAATTTATTAAATTCTTAAATTTCTTAAATAATAACTTTAGAAACAGTTTAAGCCTAGACACCTAATATATGAACAGTGTATCCTGTTCTCCCATTATATTAAATAGGGTTGATTATGAAGATGAGGCAGTGAAACATATTAGGATATTTTTTAAAATGAAATTCTAAAAGTTCCTTAGAACTTCTGTGAAATACATAGAGATAATAGATGAGTTTTGATTCTATAGACAAAAAGTCACATGTTGGTAGAATTAATATGCTAAAATTAACTTTAGAGAAGGATTTTTAAAATCTTGCTTTTTATAATGCCAAATACTAATTTATAAAATGTGATTTCAAAATTTGACAGCATCTCTAGAACCTAAGGACTGAACAAGTCAGTCAGTAGTTATTATATGATTTAAAATGAATGACTTCTTCAAAACATTTTGCAGAACTGTAAAGCATTCTTCTTTCTTTGGCTTAGATGATGTTTTGGTAATCACTAATAGCATTTGTAAATTGCTTTACATTATGTCGATTAAATTTCCAGATTGTCATTTTTGTTTTTTTTTAGTGAAATAGAAAAATCTGATACTGTCCGTGTAGCCAAGACAAGTGAAACTGAACAGTCTGAAACTGATTGTGACGTTGATGAGGCCCTTGACACAGATGCTTCGATTCAGCAGCCTTCCTTTGTCAGCCCCCCCGAAAGGTGTGTATGAGCAGGCAGTGGTGTCTCCTTGATGTGAAATTGTAATGACAGCAGTGCCATGTATGCGCTGACTTTGGTGTGTACTCCATTCTACTTTGTGACTGAAAGAAAGCTGCTATCTGTTCTTTTCTTGGTTTACTTTGTGTAGTGATAATTCCAACGATTTAGATTGTAGAAAACTTGTTAACTAGCTAAAATTTGTTTATCTTTTGGTTTCACATAGCCTTGTTGGCCAGCATATAGAAAATGTGTCATCTTCACATGACAAAGGGAAGATAACAAAATCAGAATTTGAATCAAAAGTTTCACCGAATGAACAAGGTGATGACAATCCAAAATCTGCATTGAATGCTTCAGATAATTTAAAAAATGAGGTTGGTATATAATTTGCACTATCTCCTACTTTATTGTACAACACTTTTTTTGTTATTAGCTAATTTTATAATTTGCTAACCATAGTGGTCACTTCAGCAGCACATACAATAATTTGCTAAGCCTAAAATTAGAAAGGTTGAGGAATTGATATAAACTGTAATCCCTGAGAGCAAGTAGCTACTTTATGGTACTGGGTAATAGTCCAGTATAATTACACATAAAGTTGTCTGTGTGAATGCTCTTTCATTATTGATAATTAAATGGCTTTCAACCAGTATGAGCTATTTGACATCACATACCTACTGTCCTTACTTAAACTGTGTCTCAGAGAACCATATAGAAGCTATAACTATTACTCTGAAGACTCTTCAAAAATATGTTAATTACATGAAGTTAAGCTTGCTTGTCAACCAGTTATTCTTAATAAGAGGCATTCTACCTTTTGTTACACATGTGCAGAATAAAATTATATTAACTAACATTTCAGAATGTTTTTCTTACAATAAAGAGGGTTTATCATAGTGGGACAGATTGACTTTTTCAAAAGTCTTTGAGTTTCTATACAGGCTGCTATAAAATTTCCTGAGGGAGCTGTTAAATTGAGCCTCTCTTCAGGAAAACCTCTTCATGAACTTAAACACAAAACATGGAATTAATGAACTGTTCAAAGTGCTACACCCCCATCTACATTTATTCCTTTTAAATTTGGGATATTCTGTTCTCTACTTTCTGTTCTCACAAATTTTTAGTATATTTACCCTTAAAACTACCAGTGCTTCATTCTGGAGACAATGTTATGGACCAACTGTATTTATAAGACTTCTTTTTTTTTTTCTTTCTTTCTTTCTTTTTTTTTTCTTTTGGTGGTACCAGGGATCGAACTTAGGATCTTGTGCTTGCCAGGCAAGCACTTGTTCCACTGAGCTATCTCCCCAGCCCTATTGAGACTTCTTATAGGTGCTCATCATTTTATAGATCAGCATCTTGAACTAATTTTAATCTTCCCAGTGGAAAACCAAATACACATCAGAGTTTAGTTCACAGACTGGGGAAATGGTTCAGCGGCATAAGCCCCTGCCTATATCATAAATAAATAGACTAGTTCACAGGTATCACAATCACAAATAAAATTAAACATTAAGACATATCTTCTTTGGCCTGTTTTATTTTTAAAATTTTTTTATTTTTCATTTATTTATTTGGTACAATGTCTTACTATGCAGTCAGCCCTGTAGTGGTCCTCCTATTTCAGCCTCTCCAGCGCTGGGATTATGGGCGTGCACCACCATGCCCAGCTTCTGGTAGCCAGCACCTGGCATGGCATGCAGTACAGGGGATCGAATCTAGGTCTTTGTGCTTGCCAGGCAGTTGCTTTTAGACCTCTGAACTATCTCTCTGACCTTTTGGAGCTATTTAAAATATAGTGACTAGCTTGGTCCTAAATTTGCTAATTGTCCTTAACTAGCAGCAGGCAAAAACTACTCTTCATTATCTTACAAGACACATAGTGTTTGCTGCTCTGTGCTAATAGGCAAATGAGTAGAATTTTAATTTGTTAATTACCTTCTAAATAGTATCCTAGAAAAACGTCACAGGCAATAAGTAATACAAGTAATACAGTATTCAGTACTTTTATATAGTATCTAATTCAGGATAACTCTTCATGGTTAAGTTTGTGAGGAATAGCAGAGTTTGTTTTCCCACAAAGGAAGGTAAGATCTTCGTGTTTGTTAGTTTAGAAGGATTTTGTTTTTTTTCTGGCTCAGGTTGCCTTAAGGGCGGGTCTGGTAAGGCATGGGGAGCTGGGAATTGAACCCTGGTCCCCTGGGCCTGACTGGGTTTGCTCCAGCAGGCGCTTAAACAACTGAACTAACCCAAAGCCCCCTCTTTGCTAGTTTATAGAGATATCTGTAGGACACAGTTTGCCAGGCTCATGCACAGTACATTATGAGTTTATTGTTTGTAAGCAGTGTGTTACAAAGGTTTTTTTTTTTTATTGTTTAATTCTGTTATTTGTTGTTAAACTGAAAGGGCATATGGTTTCACCCCTGTGGCAATTTTGTGTTTAGATTTTCCTTTATTAGTATCTTAGGTTAATTTTTATAGCTGTCTTTATTTTTTCAATTTATCCAAATTAAATTTAAACAGTTTAATTTTAAATCAAATACTGGCACTATTTTATCCCCCAACCCCACCCCCAGCAGCCACATACTTCATTAATTAAGCTAGGTGGTTCCGCAGAGACACTCCAAAGATGAGTAAGCTAAAAGTTCTGTGGCAGCCAGATTTCTGAGTCTCCCTAAAGGAATGTTTGAGAATGGTTCTGTTTCTTTTTAAGAAAAAGAATGTATTTATAATTCAAGAAATAAATTGTATTTTGTATTGGCATTCAAATATTCAAAAACATGTCCTAATATAGCAAATCTGTATGAAATGAAATTTGTGCCATTTATAACACAAATGTTTAGAGTTAGTCCTCTAAACAGACTTTGGACACTTCTCAAGACACTGTTAATAAACATGTTAAGCATTGTCTTAGGAATATAGAAGTGATTGCATAATTGCATAATGAACATCTGTACATTATTGAGTTTAAGAAAAAAATTAGATTGTATGTTTTTTCCATTTACTGTATTTATTTCTTATCTAGCCATTGTCTACAATTTTTTGGTTTAAAAATTATTTTAGCACTTTCCAAATAATCATTAAAAAAACCCCAAAAGATAAGGGCCGGGGAGATGGCTTGGTAAAATAAGCGCTTCCTTGGCAAGCACAAGGGGCTGAATTCAATCCCCAGTTCCACCAAAAAAAAAAAAAAAAAAACCAAAAACCCAAATAATCATAAATAGCATTAACACATTTTAGCATATTTTGAAACAATGTAAACTGACTTTATTTCAGCCTTAGGTAGCATTTCAGTCAGTGTTGTTTTTTGAGATTCAGCCATGTATTGTTCCCTATCTTGTTATAGCTACTCTACTATAATTTATGCAGTCTTCAGTAGTGTGTATTTAGGTTATTTCTAGTTTTTTTGTTATTAAGTGCTTCATTGAGCATTCTTTTATGCATCTTTGCTTAGGTATATGTGTGTTTTCATTGGTATTTATGCATACATACAGAATTGGTGGGTATCTATTCCTTCACTTACTGTTACTAAATTTTGAAATCCCTATAACAGTCTAATTCCCATGATTGAACAGATACACTATACTTTGCCAAACTGTCAGACTTTATCCTTCCTCAGATTGGTGTGATTTACATCTTGTTATGTAACTTAGTTTGTACTCCAAGATCATTACTGAGATTGTATTTTCTTTTTTGCTATATTTGTTACATATTTTTGTTCTCTTTCCTGTTACTGATTTGTAGGTATTCTTTTTTTTTAAATTTTATTTTAGGGAAGGGGCATTCTTTAGGTTTAAGTAATTCTGAGTGCATTGCAAAAATGCACTAGTTTCTTATCTATTGTTTCATGTAGTTTATGGTATTTCAGTTTTTAAAATTGTTTTCATTTTATTTATTTTTTAATTTTTTTGTATTTTTTTTCCTTAGGGAGGGGTCTATAGGTGTTTAGGGTCTCATTACTAGATCGAACTCCACAAGTGATCCGCCTGTATACAGCCTGCCAAGAGCTGGGATTACAGACAGCGTGCCACCACGCCCAGTCTCAATTGCCATCTCAGCATGCCCCAGGGGCGGGGCTGGCATGACAGGCCATGGGAATCGAACCCCTGGCCCCTGCACCTGCTTGCAAGTGCTTTAATCTGCTGAGCTATTTGGCTGGCCCTTTTGTTTTCATTTTAATACTGCCAATTTATTAGAGTTCTTGTGCATTCTGTGTCTTGTTAAGTACTTTTACTACTTTTATTTACTTATTTTTTCTTTTTGGTACCAGGGATCGAACTCAGGGCCTTGTGCCTGCCAGGCAGGAACTTAACCCACTGAGCTATCTCCCTAGCCCTTTTACTGTATTAACCTGGGTCATAAAATTGTCTTCTTAGTAATAAATAAGTATGCAGTACTTATACTGCATCTACCTTAAAATCTAAGTTAGAATGATATACTTACAAAAGAAAGATATTTTTAGATATATATTATTTCTATATTATCCTTAAGTACCATGATATACAAAAACTTTAAGGTAGATATAAAAACCGAAATATATCAATTTTGAACTGTTTGTGTATGAGTAATTGCTTCCTTAGTACATAAGGCAGTTTGGCTTCATTTTTGAACAATTATGCGTATGAAAGATTGTATCTTGCAGTTCTTAGATAGAAATAGTTTTGCAGTTCTTCGAAAAATCTAGCTTCTAAATCAAAAAATTACTATAAAATTAAACTTATTAGTCTGTATTCTTTTTAAGGTTGAGGTCTATTTGTTTTTTGGCATTTTTTTCAGAGTTCTGATTTTATGAAACCAGGAGAAACTGACCCTACACCTGCAGCAAATCCCAAAGATCCAGAGGATATACCAACATTTGATGAATGGAAGAAGAAAGTTATGGAAGTGGAAAAAGAAAAAAGTAAGGAGGCTCTGGAATTCTTCAAAATGTTTTTCTTTTTTTTTAATTTAAGGGGATTCAGACAAGTTTTTTCTTTTTAATTGGTGAGATGAAACTTGCTTTAAAAAACATTTTAAAAGAAATTTACAAAATTGCTGCTGATTATATATCCTTTACCTTAATTTGACCTTAATATGACTATATACAGTCTTAATCTTTTTTTTTTTTTTTTTTTGGCAGAACCGGGGATTGAATTCAGTCCCTTACTCTTGCCAGGCAAGCGTTTATTCTATTGAGCTGTCTCCCTGGTCCCCACAGTCTTAATCTTAATGAAGACTCAGTCATGTAAATTACTGAGGATAAAATAAAATAGCAGTGCTTTTTATTTCAGTATATAAGAGGAAAGTTGAAGCAAGGATGTTGTGAGTCACAAAACATAAATACGCAAAGTAAATGTTTTTTGGGTTTTTTTCTTTTTCGTTTTGTAGAATAAGAGTCACAAAAATTCTTAGTATTGGGATCATAGAAAGATAGCATTCATCTTTAATAGGATAGACTAAATATACTCAAAATTATTTCCATGGACAAACTTCATTTTCTGTTATAGTACTTAACATAGGTCATTTCTGTAGGTGATTAGTTTACATTGGGGATGTTTTAAGCTTTTAGGATGAAGCATCTTAAAATTCTTGTGGCTTTTTAAAATATTCTCTTAATCATTCTTTGGAAGATGGCTTATTTCTTTTAAGATCATTTTATTTCTGATAGTATTTTTAATCATAATCATACATATATTTAATGATAAGGTTTGTCTGTAGGTCAGTCATTGCATCCGTCTTCTAATGGAGGTCCCCATGCCACCAAAAAGGTCCAGAAAAATCGAAATAATTATGCTTCAGTAGAATGTGGTGCCAAAATTTTGGCAGCTAATCCAGAAGCCAAGGTACTTCATTATAAATTATTTTTATGTGTACTTCACAAACTAGTGACTTGGTATGCTGGGAATACATTTTAATGTGAGCTTTTTGCCTAATTCATTCATAAGTGCAGAATTATGTCTTTCAAGACTTTCTGTTGTATTAATTCTTTATTGTATTAGTTGACAAATCCTATTTCCCTTTTAAAACCTTTGTGAAAAGGAAAATAGGTAATGGAAAGTTACTTTTCTTTCATAGTAACACACATTGAAAATAAATGGATTGTTATAAAACCAATGTTGTAATCTTAACTGACAAATTTTAGTCACTTTTATGTTTTTTTCTCCGCATATGAATGTTTCAGGCTTAGGTTTATTTTAAAATCTAAAAGACAAATCTAAAGATATTTAGAGTTGAAATAATTTTATTATTTTTCTGTAAATGATGTATTAATTTTCCTGTTTTGAAATAGAGCACATCTGCTATTCTAATAGAAAATATGGACCTTTATATGTTGAATCCATGCAGCACTAAAATTTGGTAAGTGATACAAAAATTTTAAAAGTACATTCTATATGTGTATATATTACATTAGGCTTTTTTATTAGGGTTAGATTGATGTATTCCTATAATCATTTGATAAATGTGATTGATTAGTGATAGAACTACATAAATTTGAGGAAAAAAATACCTTTCTTCCCAGCTTATAACAAGAAATCAAACAATAACACCTAATTAAGCAGTCATGAAATGTTATAAAAGATACTATTAAAAGGCTATTTTAGTAAGTGAGATATATAACTTCTTGACTTCTTGGAAGAGGTAATGCTAAAGCTGCATCTAAGAAATGGCAGATGAGGGAGTCATAATGCTTTAAAGGAGCATATTTCTTCTGGGTTGTTAACTAGAAGCAACCTGAAGAGGTTCTTTTAGCATGACAGAAGGAAGGTGTATCTAGAGTTGAAACAAGATTACACGGAGTATTAGTTTAGTATGACTACACTATTCAACACTGTATATACCTAATTTAACGATTTTTGAAACTTATCTTTCTTTTTTTCTTTTTGAGGTAACATCTTACTGTGTTGTGCAGGCTGGCTTCAACTTGGTTAGGTAGCCTAGGCTGGTCTCAAACTCCTAGCAATCCTCCTGCCTCATTTTCCCACATGCTGGGATTATAGGCATGTGCTGCCACTATAGTTTAGATTTTATTTTAAACACCATGGAGCCATGTGGGCCCCGCCCCTGAGTGCACTGAGACAGGAATGAGACTGGACGTGGTGGCATGTGCCTGTAATCCCAACACTTGGAAGGCCACAAACAGAAGAATCATTATGAGTCCCATCTAGTAGTGAGACCCTGAGCACCCTGTAAACCCTTCTCTAAAATACAGAAAAAAGTAAACACTATGGAAGATAGATAACTATTTGTTTAAAGAAACGACATCTCACTGCTTAAAGAGTGTATTCTCAAAGGCTATTTTATAGTAGAATGCAGTTAAAAGCAGAGAAACCAGTCAAAACCTGTTGCTGTAGCCTAGCAGCAGAACTTTAAATAGAACTTTGGCTGTTTGTATACAGAGAAGACAAATATATCTGAAAGATGTTAATAGATAAATTTGTTAATTTTTAGTAACTGGATATGAAAAAGGGAGATGCATTTAGGAAAAGTCTCTTAGGATTTGGCCTCATTGCTTGTCTCTGATTTTTCCACCAAGAATATGAAAGGAACACCCGGGCCGGGGAGATAGCTCAGTAGAATAAGCACTTGCCTGGCAAGTGCAAGGGCCTGAGTTCAATGCCCGGTTCCACCAAAAAAAAGAAAAAGAAAAGGAACACATTTGTGGGCTAAATAATGTGAAATAAAACAAAATTTTATTACATGATTTCATTATTCAAATGCTCCTAATGAATAATTGGGGAAAATTCTTGCCATTATGCTAATTTGCTAGAATGAATAAATACATAATATATAGTGCCTAAGGCACTGTTCTCTCTCTCTCTCTCTCTCTCTCTCTCTCTCTCTCTCTCTCTCTTTCCCTCTTTCCCTCTTTCCCTCTTTCCCTCCCTCCTTCCATCTCTCCCTCCCTCCTTCTTTCTGTCTTTTTTTAAGGCACTTTTCAAACCTTGAAGATAGCACTTTTTTCTGCCACTCTGGGATTTACTTCTTTCAGAAACAATGCCTTTAGGTTCAGCTAGAAAATGAACCAAACTGTTAATGGTATTAAGGGATGGTCACTTGTGATGTTTATTATTACCAATAGTAACACTATACTGTAAAACTAACTTTTTCCTTAGGTAAATTTTTTGTAAGTAGAACTTGATTATCTGAGTGTTTTTTGGAAAGTTCTGTTTTTATTTGCGAAAGCCTCTGTAGTCAGTGACAATTTAAGTTTTTATGCTCCAATATTTATGTCAAGCAAAAACAGGTTGGGATGAAGTTATATGAAGCAGTTATTATGGTTTTCAGAATAAGTGATAATAGCTACTGCCACTGAAGTTTATGCTGGAGAGCATGTATTTGTGTAGTGTGTGTTTATTGTTGTACATTTATGTGTGCATCTTTTCCTTAAGAGCTCCCGAACATCTTCAATTGATTTAAGTAGTTTTACCTCCTAAGTCATAGTAAAACTACACTAACTGTAGTTTTCTAAGTCTTAGCTTCTAATAGACCAAGTTTATGTATCTCATCTTCTTCATAAGTGTCTTCATTATTGATGTCCCATCACTTTTTTTCTTTTAAGTTTCAGAATCATCTTGTTAAGATCCATCAAAACCCATGCTGGCATTTTTTATTGAAATTGTCTCAACTCAAAATGAATTTTGGGATATTTGACATTATAGAATGTTGAATCTTCCTATCCTTTAATTGATTTGATGTTTATTGAGTTCCTTGAGTTCCTGTTATATAATGCTCCTACTTCTAGAAAAACATTTGTTTTTCTTCATTTACTTTCTTCCTAGTAAATGTCTAGATAATAACTTAGCAGTTTATGTTATAAAGTGGGTGCAAATAAAATCTATTGTGTAACACGAGATAAAATGTTTTAAATTATGTATGTCCTTTCAGTTTCTTTTTTTTTTTTTTAAGTTATGTTTCTTTTTTTGTTTTTTGGCGGAACCAGGGATTGAACTCAGGCCCTTGAGCTTGCCAGAGAAGCACTTATTCCACTGAACCATCTCCCTGGCTTTCAGTTTCTTTCAATGAGTTGAAGTTTTTAAAATTTAATATAGTTTAATTTGTCTATATTAGGCTTTATTTTTATTCAGCTCTCTCCCTGCCTTTGGGTCATAAAGATAGTGTTTTATCTATGCTTCTTATAAAATTTAACCATTTTGTACTTCACATTTAAGCTGTTACTTCCTCTGGATTTCTTTGTGTGTGTGTGTGTGTGTGTGTGTGTGTGTGTGTGTGTGTAATTGTGGGATGTATTCGTTCCTGTCCTCTTGATTTTCTTTTAGATAATTGTTTATTTAATAATTACCTTTATCATAAAGTTCCCTTACACATAGGTACTGGTTTGTTTCTCTGCTGTTTTCTGTCTTGTCAGTCAGTTTGTTATTCCTTATAGACAGAACACTTTAGCTTTAAGATATAAATTAATTCAAAAGTTAAAAAAAGTAAAAAATTGTGTCATATATTTATATGAATACAAATATACATTCTTTTTTGTGTCCCATTTTTGTAGAAGTTAGCATGTCATCATATTCTTTTCACATTGAACTAATTTATAATTTAGAAATATCTTCACTATCTCTTTATTCCATTTATGGGGACCTTTGTCAGTCTTTTTAATCACTGTAAAATTCCTGTATGTGGGTATAGTAAGATTGAACTAGTCTGCACTTGACTATTTTGGTTGTTTATACCTTTCATATGGCAACCATTATTTCTGTTAGGAAGCTTGTGCATGCACTACCTTATACTTGTGTGAATAATGAAGAAGAAATAGTTCTGATCCTATTTAGATTTTGCATTTCTTCAGTTAGTTTTGGTAAATTGTTCTAGGAATTTGTCTTTCGAAGTCTTGTAATAAAGATTATTTAAATATTCTCATTGTTCAAATTCTTTTTAGCTTTACAGAGTTTGTTTTAAAAAAAATTCTTATTATTTTTATATTTTTCCTCCTTTAGACTATGGAAATTTGCCTATTTTAGCTTTACTGATTCCTGTACCATGTCTTTTTCTTCCATGAATTTCTGCTTAAAACTTTTGTTTAGAACTAGTCTGTTGAACTTTTAATTTTTTCAATGAGTAGTTCTTATACAGATTTAAGTTTATACATTTCCTTTTTTAGTAGATCTTTTAAATTTTGATTCATTTATCAAGCTCCTACTATATTCAAATCTATTACTTTATTGATTCTTTGATTTTTTTTTTTTTTGGTGAAATTTTGGGGATTTGACCCAGCATCTTTACTATGAGCTTATATTCTCAGCCCTTTATACTTCTTATTTTGAGACGGGATCATTGAACTACAAAGTTGCCCCGGCTGGTCTTAAACTTGTGATACTCCTTTATCAATTGCCCATTGTGCTAGCAATACAGGGGTGTGCCACCATAACTGGCCACTGATCTTTTAAAATTCCTGATTCAAGCTAAGGAAGATGGTATATGTCTTTAAGTCTACCACTGAAGTGGTTGAGGAAGGATCACCATGAGGTTAAAGCCAGCCTGGGCTACATAATGATCTCAAGGCCTACCTGAACTGTGTATGTAGCAAGGCCCTGTCTCAAAAGAATAAATAAATAAATAAATAAATAAATAGAATAAATTCTTATCTATAAACAATTGTATAGTATATTGAAATTGCCTGCTTGGGCAAGCACAGGGACTGGGGTTTGATCCCTGGCATCACATGCTACACCGTTCCCACCCTCAGGCCTTTGAGCCAGCAACTGAGTCTGGGCATGGTGGCACATGTCTGTAATCCCAGTGCTGGGGAAGCTGAAAACAGGAGGATCAGTGCAAATCTGAGCTGTGTAGCAAGACCCTGTGCAAAAGAGAGAGAGAGAGAGAGAGAGAGACAGACAGACAGACAGACAGACAGACAGGAAATTGAAATTGGATTTAATTTATTCAAGTCAGTCTAAATCTGATGTTAGTTCTTACCTCTGCATGAGGATGATGTAGTATGGAAAATGTTTAGGTTTTGGAGGGAGACGTACAGGTTCTGACTTCTGCTTTATTACTTATGGCTAAATGCCTATTAGGGTTTCTTATTTGCCACCTTAACAAAATCTTTAAAAAACTGGTTTAAGATAAGCAGAATAACATGAAATCAGTTTTAGTCTATTGAACTTTTTTATTTTTCATCATCTAAAACTTAGTTCTTCTGGTTTCCAAGATTAAATGCTGTGTTAATGCTAATGCTTTTGATTTCTTCAGCATTTGTCAATGTATAAAATCTCCTTTAATATTTTATTAAAGGAATACTAGATGTCAGAATATTTCTTATCCCCAAATGCCTTGATATATGAACTTTCATGTAGAGTGTTTTTTGTTTCTTAAGCAGCAACTTTTGTGATATCTTCGCGCATCAAACAAATTTCTAACATCATTTTTGTTTTGGTAATGGAGATTGAACCCAGATCTTTATGTGCATGTTCTATAGCTGAGTTATAACCCCAGTATTCCACCATTTTTAAAAACAGCTTTTGTGAGGCATGGTTGATTTACAATAATGAAACATAAAAATCATGTAATTTGATAAATTTTGACATTTATACATCACCACAGTAAAGATTATTAGGATATCTATCACTCGAAAGAGTTTCTTCATACTCCTTTTTATAATTTATTTCTCTTAAACCATTTTTCCCCATGATTAGAAATTAGGCTTCTATTACTCTAAATTATGTGCCATCTAGAGATCTTTATATAAATGAAGTATATAATTTCTAGTACCAGTTTTAATGGTCTATAGCAATTGGTTAATTAAATCTCTTCTAAATGTTTAACCTTTTTCTTCTGCTTTTATACACTGTGCTTCCGTGTAACAAACTAAACACAAAGTGGACATCTGGAGCTAAGTATCCTTAAGAGTTCATTGCTAAATCATAGGCTTTGAAAGCTTGAAGGTAATGTGAAAGTGTATGCCAAACTGTCCACTAGACTAGTCAGTTTCCATCATCATTGGCTCTTAGTAATTTCTTCTTCAAGAATATGATTTGTTATTAAAAATAGAACCTTAAAAAAGACTGTCATGGGGCAAAATTCGTTATCTTGTTTAGTTTTCCCATTAATGCTATACTTGGTAAATACTTAAATCGATTCTTTTGTGACAAACTCGTCATTACATTTTAGTAACTTTCATGGATGTTTAGTTTATGCATATTGTTATATATTTAATATGAACTGTATTTTGAATGATTTATCTAAATGATTGTCTTGTGTTCTTTTTGAAGGTTTGTTATTGAACTTTGTGAACCAATTCAAGTAAAACAGCTTGACATTGCAAATTACGAATTATTTTCTTCTACTCCTAAAGACTTTCTGGTTTCTATCAGTGACAGGTAAGTTGTACAGCTAGGTTCAATAGGCCTATGTTGGATCTTTAGAATAAAATTTAAAAATGGGTCACTTTGGACTTCATTTTCTTTTTTAATACCTTCTAATAATAGATACAGGCTCTTTTGTTAATCACTTTACTTTAAGTTGCTTATATAATGTTTAAAACATAACCACATGTATTATTTCTTTATGTTTTAAAGGAAAAAAAAGGAAGTAATTTATTAGAAAATAATATTTATTATAATATGCAGAGGAGGTCTGTGTTTAAAAACCTAATAGAGTGTTTGGATGCTTGCATCTACTTGTACTGAATAAGCTTGGTTTTGCAGGGTATAAGATAATATTCAAGTGAAAGTAATAAACACTTTTTGTTTATTTATTTGTGATACTTAGAAGACAAAACAAATTATACCATTCACAAGTAAATATGAATATGTGTGATATGTGTGTGTGCATACACACACACATATTATATATATATATATATATCCTATATATATATATCCTATATATTATATATGTATATATATATAAAATGCACATGGCTGCAGAGATAGCTTAGTGATCTAAGTATCTGCCTAGGCAAGTACAAGGACCCAGGTTCGATCTCTGGTACCATGTGTTGTGCCAATCCCACCCTGGGTTCACTGAGTCGGCCACTACGGGTCCAAGCTGCATAGTGATACCCTGTACCAAACACATAAAAAAAATTTTAAAACAAATTTTTGTCCTAAAATAATGCCAGCTTACATAGAGACTAGTAAAAATATGTTTTGCTGTCTCAAATATTGAAAGTTTTGTTATTATTTTATTTTTTTAGGGCATGTTGATATCATTCCTTTATAAAGTGAGAAAAAAGCAAAGTGGAATTAGTAGCTTGCCTAGGTCACATAACCTATTAAAGGACCAACATTCAAATCTAAAACCATGTCATTTCAAAGTCTTTTCTTTAGTCTTTATTCTCTATTCCAGCCTAACATTTCTTTGAAAGTTATTAAAAACACAGAAGTATTTATTTCATCTTATGTTGTGAGGTATATTTTTAGTAAACAATATTTTTGAGTCTTTTTTGGTCATTGTATAATTATGAAAGAAATATGCATTGTAAGGACTTTGAAAAAGAATTCCTATCAGTGATAACTTAGCTTTTGAACACATTCCTTTCAGTGTTTCCTATGCATTTATTCTAGTAAAATATATTTTTTATTTCTTAGATCTTGAGACTTTTAATTTAAAAGCATACTATTTTAATGAGCACTTAATATTTTCCACTTGATGGGTATGTTTATTCATTCCTTGAATACATTTGCATGCCATGATATGTCATGTAGGAAACTATTACTTGTTCTATTAATCCTAAACTATTAAAGTTTTCGTATGATGTTTCTCCCATCTCCTCACATTCAGCAGTCTGTGTATACAGTTTTTGAAACCAGTTCTCAAAGCCTTTCAAATATTCTATCTATTCTCCTACTAACCTTTATCTGAATTTCCTGGTCTCTAAGTTGGAATTTTCAAAGAAGTCATAAGGACATAGACAGTAATGACAGAGTATTTTTTTTTTTTTTTTTAATGTGAGAGAGTACTTCTTGAGGCATTCTTTAAATGTTACAAACATTAACAGTAGTATTAGACTTTTATATTAGGTTAGCTTTTAAACTCATGAGCTACCTATAGAGATGTGTATTAGTACTTCATATGATCATATACTTGTTAATATGTGAAGAGTCATCTCATTCCAAAGCAGTGTCTTAGCTACACTGTTGTCTTTTCCTTGTTTTTTTACTTCTTAATGGTGACTTTTCAAGTTATTCTTTCCTAGTACAAAGGAACTTGTTGATTTGAGAATAAAACATATTTAATCAAAAGGTTGTTAAGATATTATGTCAGTGTGTTTACTTGTAGAGAAAAAAATATACAGAATGTATTTATTTTCATGTTTTCTAGATATCCCACAAATAAATGGATTAAGCTGGGTACTTTCCATGGTAGAGATGAACGGAATGTCCAGAGTTTCCCTTTAGATGAGCAAATGTATGCAAAATATGTGAAGGTAATGTTTACATGTATAGAACTGTGTTCTTTCATGAAAATGTACTTATTTACACCCTATTCACTGTTTAGAAATCAGAAAAATTAAGAGAGAATTTATGATATACATTATTTAATAAGATAGTTCTTATTTGGATATTTTATTTTGAAAATGTTAATACATTCTCTGTTACTTAAAACCTAGACCAGATTTTTTTGTGTCTCTGATAAAATTCCCAAGTGTGACTCTTAAATTTTTTTGAGTCTTTATGTAGTATGTCATCTTCATAGTACTATATTTCTACCTATTTTGAAAGTCAAATAAGTGGGAGAGATAGCTCAGTAGCACAAGTGCCTGCCTGGCAAGCATAAAGTCCTGAGTTTGATCCGTCATACCAAAAAAAAAAAAAAGGAAAAGTCAAATATTAATTATTATCACTGAAACCCTTAAGGCAGGCAATTTTTTTAAATAAAATTCTTAGGTTATTTCAGTTTTAGTATCAGTTATCTGACATTATTATGGCTTTTGCTTTTTTTTTTTTTTTTAAGTTCAAGAGCAATTTTATGTCTTTTAAATAGAAAAATCTTTTTAACACTGTTCTGGGTGCTTCTTCCACCAACTAATCAAGTAGAATTTTCAATCTTGAATTGGATTTAAACAAAACAGAGGAAGTTTCTACTATTCTTCTTGCCCCTTTTACTTAAAATAATTGCTACATCTTAAAGTACCATTGTGTTAATAATATAACCTCTTGAATGTAATTCTAGTTTCTGTCTTTCCTTCTTTAAATGTGAGAACTTAATAACTACTTAATTTTGGCTTCTGGGATATTACTCTCTTTTTGAAGCATGTTTTAAGTTGACTTTTATATGTGGATAAACTTGTAGTATTCCTACTTTTAGTATAAAAATATTGAATTCGTTTTGAAAGAGCAGTTAATATTTTCACAGTTCAGAAAAATGGCAGTCTTTTAATTTGTTCTAAATGAGTATGAAAGTAATTATTGAATGACTAAACATAGCTATATAGATACTGTACTTTCTATAATGTGAGAAGAAAAAAATCATTTGCCAGGTAATTATTTAATTTTGGAAGCAAAAGTGCCATTAGTTCTGAAGATCATTTTTATACCACTTACTTTGCTAATGGAGGAATATTTTATTGATGGTATAAAAGTGTCATGTAAAACTTTCTGCCTTTTCCTTTTTATGGTAGGAGACTTAAAACATTTCAGTGATCCATCTCTACCAATAAAGATAGAAATAAGTTAAAAAGCAAAAAGCATTTACTTACAAGTTTCATTTTAAAGTGTTAAGTGCTATGGGTTTTCCTTATTCTATAAGAAGTAAACCCATTGCTATAAATTACTTTTTAATAGCTTATATTTAATAAATAGATATCTATGCATTTTTAAGTTGCAATTAAAAAGTTATTTGCTACATACCTTCATTTTGTAAATTGTCTTTAAATAATATCAAATTTCATATTTTCCATAAATATTCATTGTATTAGTTTACTTTTTAGTAATATGCATATGATATATACGTTCATGCATCCACATATATATCAGTATACAAAGTCAGCTGCAAATATATATGTGAGACATAGCTGTAATAAGTAATAGACGACTTGGATTGTTTCTGTAGATAATTGGCGGGACCCAGGAGATAGCTGAGCAGCATAAGTGCCTGCCTGGCAAGCATAAAGTCCTGAGTTTGGTCCCTGGTACCAAAAAAAAAAAGATAATTGGTTTTGGAATGCTTTTGTATCTAAGATACAGCAGCAGTGGATTTTAGATTGCTTAACTTTTTGTAAGCTTAAAGTTTATTTTATTACAGTTTAAGTTACATTTTCTAATTGTGATGCTAAAACTTTAAACCATTGCTTTGATTTCTGCAAAGAATTAAGAGTACTACAATGTTATCCATCACAGCACATTGCTGTCTATACTTTAATTATGCAATATGGTTTACAAATTGATGAAGTTGCTTGTGGCATGTCATCTAGACTTTGAAACTGATTTTTCTTTCCTTTCTCTTGCTTCAGATGTTCATCAAGTACATAAAGGTTAGCAACCTTCTACTTTGCAATATTGAATAGCAGGGCATGGCTATTAATGCTATATTTAAAAAAGCAAAACTTTACAAGTGTTAATTTTGGGGGAAATAACTTTATTTTTAGAAAGATGATTATGTTAACTTTCTAGGCACTCTGTTGGCTTCCCAGTTCATGTGCTTTTATTTTTTTAGGTGGAGCTGGTATCACATTTTGGGTCAGAGCACTTCTGTCCATTAAGCCTTATAAGGTAAAACAGAACAAAATACATTAACTAGGATTTTTCCTAAGTGTTACACAGTGCAATACATGTAAAGTGAAGAAAGACGTTTCTCTTACATGAGGTTAAGGTACAAATAACTAGCTGTTAAACCTCTTTCTCTTGAATGTATTTTAGAGAAATGTGAACATATTCTTCGTTAAAAAAAAAAAAAAAATCATGGTGGTTGGTGCCCATCTGTAATTTCAGCACTCTGTGAGGCTGAGGCAGGGAATTGCAATTTGAGTCCAGCCTGGGCAACTTGACAAGACTGTCTCAAAATAAAAAAAAAAAGGCTATGAAGATAGCGCAGTGGGAAGGCCCTGGGTTCCATTGCCAGTATAACAAACAACAAAATATTTAGTGATAGATGTAGCTATTTTGCTGTGATAATATATGGAAATATTTTAGACTGATAAAAACTACTTGGTTATTATGTTTCTACAGTTGATGACTGAAATGTTAGATACAGTCATTATTTTGGAGTACAAAGGCCTAATGTTCCTTATAACATCAGAACTGATGTTTATAATGTACTTTGAGTCTGAATAACTTTGTTATGTTTTAATAAAAGTCTTTAAATTGATGTTATTAGAGTATTTGGCACTAGCATGGTAGAAGAATATGAAGAAATTGCTGATTCACAGTATCAGTCAGAACGTCAAGAACTCTTTGATGAGGATTATGGTAAGTGATTTTAAATAAGTGATATTTGGAACTGTTTTGCCTTTATAATTTTAATTGTAATGGGTGATTATTATTTAAATCAATGATTGTTACTTTAGTTTTGTTTTAGCCCTAATAGCCATTTTTATCTTTAAAGTATCATTTAATGTGGTAACCATTTTCAAACTTATGAGTTATTTGTAATTGGAGCTTCCCTTGAGAATATCAGTGCTGTAAATCATGATTGTAATCCTATGCCAGGTCCAAGAACCTGTTCAGCTTGTAATGAACTAAAAGAATAGAAATGAACATTAATTCCTTTGATTTTTGCCCTAAGCCTAAGAACACATATTTAGGCTTAGTTTTTGAGAAACTCTTATGAGACGGAGGGATCCAGGAAAGTTTACTGGACCTATTCATTTCTGCTCTATCAAATCCTTATTTTAAGATGCCATAAATCATAGCATAAACAGTGTTTTTTCTTCTGTCATTTTCATGACATTGACTGAGACTTGGTCTATAGAATGGTTAAATAAATAAAAGTCTTATAAATGTGATTAAAATTTTTGTAAGCATTATCATTTTCTTCAGTTTACCTAGTTTGCCAAATACCTTATGAATCTCATTTTCTTTCTGTGAACACATTTTAGATGTATAATTAATATTTATCATGAAATGCTTTAAATGTTGAGGTCATAAGTTTATAAATTTATTGTTGAAACTAGTTCCCAGCATAATTACTTTATTTTTCACTCTAGATTACCCAATGGATTATAATACCGTGGAGGATAAATCTTCAAAAAATCTTCTTGGCTCTGCTACAAGTAAGGTTTTTGGAGTTTCCTATTCATACTATTCAAGTATTTCTTATTTTTTTCATTTTGATGTAAACTTTGGGTTGCCTATAGTGACAATATTTATCTTTAATTCCAAGATACTGACTTAAAAAACATTTCTACAGAACTCAAACAGGAAGAATGGATGAAAAGAAAGAAGAAATTTAAAAATGAAAACATAATAAAAGTATTTTTTCTACTCAACCTATCATTTAGGGGCAGGTTTTTTTTTTTTTTTTTTGTGAAGAAAGGGCTGTGAATTTATTTGGGGAGAAAAAAATTATAAAAGAGGTAGTACGTCGGTGAAATCTTAGTGAATAAGCATTTGTTAATTTATGATCATCACTAGTTTCCTGTTTAAAATATGAAGGCTGTTTCAATAATAAGTGCCACAACTACTAATTATGGTAAATTAATATATTCTTTGTAAACTAAGAAAATGACTAAGATAACTAATGTTTAGTGTGCTGTTGTCCCAGAGGCATCATATGAGCCTAGGGGATGCCTAGCTGAAGTGATTACTAGAAACACCTCAAGCCAAAGGACATGATTTTTCTGTTAGAATGTGCATGGGTATGTTTTCATGTTGTTTTTGAATATAAAACTAAGTGGACAGAGTTTTCTTCCTATTTGGAGATGAATAGCAGAATTCAACAAAAAATCTTAATATAAGACAATTAGCACCTTGTTCTTTTCATGTTAATGAACTGAATGGTTTGAACCAGTGGAAAAAAACAATGGTTTTCTTTTTTAGATATTTAGCAAGTAGTATGTACACTTGTGAAGATATTTTGTATAGCTGTATGTTGTGAAATTAAGAATTACTTTGTTTTCTTTTTATCTTTACATATTTTCTTCCTCTCTATTCCTCTTTCTTTCCATGCATTAGAACTTCAATGAGTATCTTTAGGTATGGGCAGAATAAGTGTTAAAAATACCTGCAGGAAGAGAATCATTCTATACAACATTTAACTTGGTTTTATTTCAGTTTGATATACTTTGTTGTACTGTATTGGTACCCTTCTGACTTTAGAACTTAGTAGCTACTTTTAAATAGGACCCCTAACTATCCTTGATGTTAAGCACCTCTTTCACTACTGGGAGATGTAATTTTTCAGGAGTGTGAAAAGCATGGTATATTATCTGCCTGGACATTAATATCTTTTTGTCTTTAAAATTATGATAGTCATCATTCTGTCTCTTGTGTCATTTAAATGATGCTGAACTAGCTCTGAGAAATCACTATTTTATGAGGGATCAGAAAATAACAGCAGGCTAAAAGATCTCTGTATTTTCTGGTGGTTACCTGAGAAACCATCTTAGCAAACATGGTGGTAGGGCATTAATTACTTTCTTTCATGGATTTGGTTCCATTCAAGAAATATATTACTACTCTGAATTTCATTTTTTTTTTTTAATGGTATTAACACCTGGATGCCATTAAAACCTAACTCTGGAGGATATTTTCCTATTTCTAGTCACTTTTCCAGTCAATATGTTATTGTAATTATCATATTTATATAATATCATAGTTATACATGGAATCTTATTTTGATCTAAACTTTTTGAATCTGTCTTGAAATTTTTTTGTGGTTTTCTTTTTTATGGATCTCCCATTGTTCCATGATCAGAGGAATTTCCTGTAGTGAGGCAAGATGGGTGAGAAGATGTTAGATGAGCGTAGGTATGGGACTTAAAATGATCTGTGCCTCTTGAAATGTCACAAGAGAGGCAATATGAGCTAGAATATTAAGCCTTTGCTGTCATGAAGCTTTCAAAGCTAATCTAATACTATGATCTCCTCTACTATTGTCTTTGTCGTGTTCTCAGAAGAATGTGGGACTGTATTTAAAGAGCCTGACTGACCTATAGCCTCCAAGATGGTATAAGGAGGCAATAATAGGAATAGAGCTGATCTTTGGCACGAAATGTACAATTTTGACATTTCTTTCTCAGCAAAGTATGCCAATTTTGGACCAAATTTATTATAGTATATAAAAAATAGAATTCTATGGCTTTATATCATAGGATGAATAAGTTGCCCAACTCAAAGTAGTTTTCTATTCCAAGAGCAGTTAAGGACAGTTATCCAGTTTGATTCTATATTTGAAGTTATAACTTTATCCTGTTATAAAATCTTTTTAGAAACCAGATTATCATGGTGATAAGCTGTCATACATTGGCTGCATATTGAGAATGGTCAGAATATCATATTCACATTGCTGCTTTTACTCAAAAGACTAAACATGAACTATGTTAAGCAATACTTTATGAACATAGGAACATTATTTCTTTAGGTTAGATCTAGATCGAGAAAGTAAGTGGGGCCCTAAAGTGATGATATTAATATTTTAAAGGGTTATTCGTTTAAAGGGTGGGTCTTCCTCAAAATAGGGCTATCATTAAAATGTAAGTTCAAAAATAAGCTATCTTCTTTGTATGTATAAACATGTATTCTTCTATTGAAGTATTTAATAATAATTGTTCCAAAATTTGAAATCTGTTATTCCTTTGAAGCACAGGAGGGTATAGTGCTGGCCCTATGTGTGGCACGTGTGCTGCCATAGGCTGTTTATTATTGAAAGTTCTGTCCCCGGCCTGGGGTGCTGGGCCCTGCTCCCAGGGCATGCTGAGATGGCAATTGAGACTGGGCATGGTGGCGCGGGCCTGTAATCACAGTGCTTGTGAGGCTGAAAACAGGAGAATCATGAGTCCAATCTGTGATGAAACCCTGTAGACCCTGTGCTTAATACATTTAAAAAGAAAAATTCTAAAAGATTTGCTGTCACTGGTAGAGATTGTTGATCCCAAAATTTAACTTTTGTGATGTAAGTAAAAGATACCTACTAGTTCAGTATCAGTTGGCATTGAAAGTGGATTTATAAGAAAGTATGTTTCCATGGGCATGGTGGTGCATGCCTCTAAGCCCAGCGCTGGGCTGAGACAGGAGGATCACTGCATCTGAGCTGCATAATGAGACCCTGTAACAAGTACATAAATAAAAATATGAAAGATCAAAAAAATTTAAAAAATTAAAAACAGAAGAAAGTAAGTTTCCATTCCTGATATTATCTTCCTTTGTGCACAGATAAGGAATTTTCATTGCTATGATTACCTCCTGCTGAGGCATCTTTAGCCAAAGAACCAGGGCTACCATTCTGTTGACCTGCTTGACAGGTTGAAAAGCAAGACATTTAAATATTGTAAATATTTTTAGATATATAAATCAACCTCTTGTGTTACTACCACTATTTTGTTGTCTTTCAGATTATATAATCATAATTATATGAAGACCAAAATTATAACTGTCAGTTATCACCTTCACTCCCTCAGATCTACTACTTTCTCCCCACCTTACAGCAAACATTTACATCAGGTCTATGTGACAGTGCTAAGTCGGCCCCAAGCCATTTTATGTGCTAGATTTCTTAGATCTTTTTCTACTTTTCACATCTTTGGTTCATCAGAAAAGTGTGATGAAACCATGTATATATTTTAGGAAAGGAGACTAGGATGAAAATAACTTATGAAGCCTAGTGTATAACTCTTGCCACTTGCTAATATTTTAATAGGGGAGTAATATCTGATCCTGGAAGTGTTTTGGGATTTGAAAGATTTGATTGGGTAAATACTAATGTCCCTTGAAATTACAGCATATTATTAGTGGGGAATCCTCACTCTTACCAGCACCAGCTTTTTAAAGTTCTTCTGCCATGTGTGATCCTCATGTATAAGTATGTCTGTCTGTATATCTGAGGTTTGAAGTACATTTGTCATCTAACTCTTCTCCTTGGAAAGAGGCACAATTACCAAGTATGCAAATTGTTTTCCTACAACATTCACAATTTTATGACTTTAACTTTAATTAACTTGTCCCATTCCTCTCCATGTCTCTACCCAGAACACAAAAGAATTGGTGTGCTCTGTAATCCTTAAATATGTGTTTGGTTAGTTTTTGAAAGCTAATGGGGGCCAGCCAAATAGCTCAGCGGATTATTAAAGTGCCTGCAAGCAGGTTCAGGGGCCAGGGGTTCGGGCCCCATCCCCGGGGTGCACTGAGATGATAATTGAGACTGTGCATGGTGGCGCACACCTGTAATCCCAGCTGTTGAGAGGCTGTAAGCAGATGGATAACTACGAGTCTGATCTAATAGCGAGACCCTGAACACTGTGTAGACCTTTCCCTAAAATACGAAAAAAAAAAAACAAAAAAAAAACAAATTTGCTTCTATACAGTGTCAAAGTTTAAATTTAAGTATATTAACAATAGATAATATGTGCTAAAAATCAGTACAAATTTTTCTGCCTTGGTTAATCTCCCCATTTATGCTCATACTTATCACTCATTATGGGAAAAAATTTGTCTCTTTAAGCTTTTTTTTTTGGTTTTGTTTAAAACTGTAGGACCTTTTAAGGAAAATAGTAGAGTTTTAAATTACAAGTTTTTGATCATCGTATTTCCTCCCAGTACAGGCTACATGTTGAATTTGAGTTTTATAATGTGTCAGTGTTTTGCTAAAAGATTTGGGGAAACTTTACACCAAAAAGTACATTTAAACTTAAAATTCCTACGGAACATAATAATTCAGATTTATGCTGTATAGTTTGTATGTCCTTCCTATATTTGACTTCAATGGTAAAGTAAATAAAAATGTAGTATAAAGATAAAATAAGTAACTCCCATTATATGTGGTTCTTTTTGACTAATACTAATTTATGTAAGAATATTTAGGTACATTGGTATCTTCGATTTTGTTTTAGATGCCATTCTAAATATGGTGAATATTGCTGCTAATATTCTGGGAGCAAAAACTGAAGATTTGACAGAAGGTACCTTAATTGTTTTATGGGTGTTTTAAATAGCTAGTACTCCCTGTGTCCTTCTAGTTAGGAAAATCAAATAAAATAAGCTAAAAAAAAGTTTGAGTTTTCATATAGAGATACAGAGATGATCCAAAGGAACTTAATAGTCTTCTGTTACCCATTGCTTGGTTAAATTCCACAAGTTCCTTTATATAAAAAGATTTTATCTGCACAAATATTATAAGTGGGTCTTTTGACTTTCACATTGTAATAATAAATAATTAATTGTCCTTTCTATCCTTATTGATATTTTATGCTCTAATTATACTTCAATTTTGCTTTCTTTTTGTGTGTCAGATTGCTAATTAGAAAGTTTTTCCATAGTAAAAAGTGAATAGAAAGTAAGAGTATTATTTAGTAAAGAAACAATCATGTCTTTTTTGTTTTTAAAAAATGCTTAGTTTCAAGATGGATGTGGTGGCACACACCTGTAATCCTAGTACTTTAGCAGGCTAAGACAGGAGGATCACAAGTTTGAGCTCAGGTTGGGCAAATTACTTGGTGAATCTTATCTCAAAATGACAAAAATGGGGTTGTAGACATAGCTAAATGTGAAGGCCTTAGCTTAAATCTCGTATCCACCTCGAAAACAAACAAAAAACCCTTAGATTCAAATATGAACTTTTAAATAACTCATTTATTTCCTCTCATTTTCTTTAATAGTTTTTTAGTTAATCATATAAAATTATAGTGTTCATAGACATCTATGATTTACTTAAAAAGTTAAATAATTTGTATTGCTTATAGTTGCCATCTTGCATGATCTCTTCTAAAAGAACTTAGTTTATTTTTATTTTTTTATTTTTTTTATTTTTTTATTTTTTTATTTATTTGAGAGAGAGAGAGAGAGAG